AAAGAAATAATACATTTTTCATTAATAATTAAAGATTACTTTCTCGGGTTTCTATTTAGCTTGTTTCTAAAGTTTATTATTTTTCATTTTTAAGAAAACAATTGTGCTTCATATCATTTATTTTAGTCTACATAAATTATAATCACACAAAAAGTTTCATGTTCTTTCTTCTTATATTTTTTAAATAGAATTAAATTTATTTTTTAAAAGAACCGTATCAAGTGAAACAACTAAAAATATGGAATTTAAAAGGTAAGGAGTAATAAAGATATTGATAATGATAATAATAGTAGTAGTAGTAGTAGTAGTAGTAATAATAATAATAATAATAATAATAATAATAATTCTTATTTGGATCTGATCTGGTCTGATCTGATCTGATTGGATCTGATCTGATTAGATCTGATCTGATCTGATTGGTTCTGATCTGATTTGATCTGATTGGTTTTGATCTGATCTGATTTGATCTGATTAGATCTGATCTGATCTGATCTGATTTTAATAAGATTAAGAAAAAAACAGAAAAAATAAGTTGAACGGAACGGGGCCTAAGTACCCCATCTTTAAAAAAATGTAACAAAAAGGTATACCTTGTCAGAATTTCAAGAATCCGACCGGCGAACGTATTTGTGACGTTCTATTTAGCTTTCTGGTGTACATGTTACATTCCATATGACTTCCAAATTATTTTGTAACTTCTCATATACGTTATTAGCTTTGTACGTGATGTTCTAATTTTTTTAATTATATTTTCTTTATACGACAATATCATATTTTAATATTTACAAAATATTTTACACCAAACAAGCAATTACTTTTTGAATATTTTTCTTTATTGTAATTTAAAAGACAGCGTTTCTTATTTATTTAAACTTTTAAATCTTTACAATTTTTGGAGTTAGAATTTTAATAGATAAATAAACACGATGTTGCATAAATGTCTCTTTTAAAATTTAGTTAGATGACTTATAAAAACTCATAACACGTATCAATAATACTCGATAACGATGATGATCGTAGTAGTAATAATAATACGTATTTTTTAGAATTTAAATTTTATAAAATTTCTAATAAATCTCTAAAATTATATTATAGACAATTATTAAAATGTTATTGCTACTAATGTTTAAAATATGAAGTACCTTATAAATTATATTTTCGATGAAAGCACGATTTAAAAATAAATTTATAATATTCTCCATGAAATATCTTCCGTATTTTCATTACAAGAAAAAAATACTCGACTTATGCGTACAAAGTTAATCAAGTATTAGATAAATTACGTGTCACTTTGGAAGCCATATAAAATGTGACTTGTACACTAGAAAGCTAAATAAAATACTACATGTTCGCTCGCTGGTAGAATTCTTAAATTTCCAGAAAAGGATACCTTTTTGTTACACATTTTAAAGATAGGGTACCTTTTCATTATTAGCTGAAGATATGGTACTTTTTTTACAACGGGTAAAGATACATACCTCCTATCAAAAAAGGACCACGCTACACTTACACCAAAAATTGTACCCCATTTGTACACTGCAGTTATAGACAAATATTTGATGGTTTAGACCGACACAAGTGTTGCTGTGTCAACAAAAATTTACACGGACACAAAGTGTTAGTGCGTTAACAAAAATTAATTTTACACCAACATAAAATATCGGTGCAAACTTGCGGTGTACAAATGGTGTACAAAAATTTGGGGTTCAAGTAGCTTTATCCATAAAAAAAACCTTAGTTATTGGAACTTACTCCGTGAGTCAAAGTTTTGGAATTTGATCCGTATCTTTTACTGAGCAACGAACCACCCGAGATTTGACTAGACCAAAGTAGGCTCATTCTGCACTAATTTGGGTCCCACTTCCAAAGCAGGCTCTTTTGCAGTTTTGCACTCTTTTTTCAGGTTTACCCGCTCTCAAATCCATTTTGGCGGGGGAAATACAGGTCTATGCTTCTCTAAAGAGGGAAAGTTCAAATAATTCTAACCCTAAATTCAGTTCCGCCAGTACCAGTGCGCTCAAACAAACACACACACATATATCTATCCCGCTCATTTCTAGATAATCGCACTTGGACTGAAAGTTGTTTGACAAATTCCTCATCCAAGCGATGTACGTGATAAAGAGAGATGGGCGTCAGGAGGCTGTTCACTTTGACAAGATCACAGCTAGGCTTAAGAAGCTGAGCTATGGTCTCAGTCCTGATCACTGCGATCCGGTGCTTGTTTCCCAGAAGGTCTGTGCGGGAGTCTACAAAGGTGTAACCACAAGCCAGCTTGATGAATTGGCCGCTGAGACTGCAGCTGCCATGACCACCAATCATCCTGACTATGCATCTGTGAGTTTCAATTTCTAACTTTATTTATTTCATAAATCTTTGTGTTATATATTCTTTAAAAATGAACTAAAAATGAAACATTTTGAATTGTGTGTTTGGGGTTAGCCATGAGGTATCTTGAATTGTGTGGTGTTTACATTTTTCATCTACTTGATTTAATATAGTATGTAACTTTTGAAACTATCGGTTTCAATCTCATTATCTCTATCAAATTTTTCCTTTACTAAATTTGTTCAATGAAAGTTTAGCTCTGGTCATTGATCTAGTGACACCAATATTTGCCAGTTTTAATATTTACACAATTTTTTATGCTTTTGTGAGTGTTTCATTATCATCGAGTTTGTGTTGTTTGTTAGTGGTTATATTATTTAAGTCATGTTGGTTGCAGTGGTTTTCTCTTTACTCTTCTGTGATTTCATATGTAATTGCAGAATATTCATATAAACTAATACTGGTCTTTGGAACTAATTTTGGATTTGTTTTTGTAGTTTTAAATTCTAAATGCGTTATAAGTTTATTGTAGTTTCGTAAAAGTTGTACAAGTGAAAGTGTAATTTTTGGTTATCTAAATCTATGTTTGCAGTTGGCTGCTAGGATTGCTGTTTCTAATCTTCACAAAAGTACTAAGAAATCATTTTCTGAGACGTAAGTTCTTGGTATTGTTGTTTGAAGCTCCTTTTTCCCCTAATGTTAATTTAAAACCTCATTGATGGAAATGCTGGTTTGTCTTGTTGATCACTACAGGGTTAAAGACATGTATAACCATATCAGTGAAAGATCTGGACTAAAAGCGCCTCTCATAGCTGATGATATTTATGAGATAATCATGAAGGTATTGTTGCTTTAGGTCAGGGAATAAGGTTTTTTTTGGCATTTTGCAAATCTGTAGATATATATTGCTACTTAAAGTACACAGAGTATTTGGGAAAGTTGATTATGTTACATTAGATGGACTATTTTTCCATTTTGTTTACATAAATAATGAACAACAGCTTGATGGAAGGAAATGAAGAAATCCCAAAAAGATGATGTATAAGCCTTGATTTCATGTTAGAAAATTTTACTCTCTTCATCCCTCTAATTTTGGTAAATGGGATAGTAATATTAAAATTAAGAAAAATAAAATTGTGTGGTTTATATCCTTCTTAAAGAGAATGAAAAAGTAAGAATGTGAGTGACAAAAATTACTTGCTCGGTTGCAAGATTATATTCCTGATTAGGTTTATGATGTTTGAAAGAAATTATATTCAATTCAAATTATTAGTGCAAAATTAAAAAATACACAACAATTTAACATTACCCCAGTGCCTCTGGCTCTTGCCCATTGCAGGGTAGGGGGGTAGTCGAATGGACTCAGCCTAACCCCTAAATGAATTTAAACATAAAATTCATATGGTCAAAAATTACACAAAAGTTCTACAAAATAAAGATGACATCACTATTTTATCAATGAAAATATGTAAGAAAGGAGATATATATTTTGACTTTGTAAATAGTAGCTATGAAGATAAATTTGGGATAGAGTACTGAATATGATACTCAGTATGAGACTTAAATAGGGGACAATACAAATAAAAGTGGACAAAAATAGTTGGATGGAGTGAATAAATCCTACTGCATTTTAGGATGCACATCTCAGAGAACAGTAGAACATATCTTCAATATGTATGAACTATGCTACTATGGGTGGCAATTTATGCAAGCTCATTGGGGCCTATCATCTTCTAACTCTAACAACTAGGGAAACAATTAGATGGGCTATTAACATGGGTAGTTGTGTCTTGCAGAATGCAGCTCGTCTGGATAGTGAGATCATATATGACCGAGACTTTGACTATGATTATTTTGGATTCAAGACCCTTGAGAGGTCTTACCTTTTGAAAGTTCAAGGGAAGGTTGTGGAAAGGCCACAACACATGTTAATGAGAGTTTCTGTTGGTATTCACAAAAATGATATTGAATCTGCCATAAGGACATACCATATGATGTCTCAAAGATGGTTTACTCATGCATCTCCAACACTTTTTAATGCTGGGACTCCAAGGCCTCAGGTTGGTTAATTTCCCTAATGCTCCCTTGTTACGGTTCTAGGGTTTAATTTTTTAGTAGTTATTATTATGATTATTACTCCATATTATTTTTCTTTTTAGTTTCCTGTATTTAATAATAATAATAATTATTATTATTATGATTAGTTTCCTATTGCTATTAATATATTTATTACTAGCTTCCTATTATTTAGGAAGTGATACAGGCGTGGAGACTTCTCAAGAATGAGAGAGTCTCGAGGCTCTGTAACGGAAATGGTTAGAGAAGAGGGATAGAAGGTAGAGAAAGAGAGAGAGAGATAAAGTTGAGGAAATATTATTCTGATTACTCAATCAAAGGATAAATACCATATATATAGGCTACACATAAGAGGTAAACATAAAGAGTAAAAGTATAAACATAAAGAGTAAAAGTAAAGGCCTGCATCATTCCTTCCCCCATGGCTAAAGCTTTGTCCTCGAAGCTGAACGTTGGGACTTTCTTCATGCAACAAATGCCTTGAAGGCAGCAAGGGTGTGTGGTGCAGCAGAGAACTCCCTTCTTAAGGCCTGAAAAGGGCTGCAACGATTGGGTTCCAACTGCGCATTAGTTCCTTAATGCACACTCGCTTGCTTGTAGGGTTGCTTCGGCCAAGTGCAATCTCCAAGTACCAGCTTCCTTTCACATAAGTGAGAGTTTGCTAGCTGCTGCATTAGGTGTCTCATGGTAATAAACAACTCCTTGATGTGGTCGTGATGGAGTTCCCAAGTCTGCCTATACACCATGATATCATCAACAATTACCAACACTGATTTCTTCAGATAGGAATTGTAGGTATCTTGGCTTCCAATCTTTGGTTTGGTGGTATCCCACTCTCAAATCCATCTTGCTCAAGACAACTTTCCAAACTTCAATGGGAATCTGCAAGGGTTAAAATAGTCCAAGGTAGGTAGAGCCATCATTCTTGCAATCTTGGCAAACTAAACCCCTCCTCACATAGAGAGAGACCCTCATGTGCACTTCCCCCAGCAGTGCATACTTCTTAGCCTTATCAATACTGCTTCTCTTCTTGCTTGGCCTGGCACATGTGGGGAATGTTCCCACTGTAGCACAACACATACCACTGCCACTAACTCAATATACTTCTTCACAGTGCTATGTTGTACAGTGGTTTGCCAGTATGGCTGCAGCTCAGGCCATATCCAATCTCCCAAAGCCAACTTCTTGTCAGATCTCTGTTGGATGGCTAGGTGTTGTCTTCTATTCTGATCTCCTTGACATTGTTATCTTAGTAGTCTAACCCTAGTCTCCCTCTGCTGTAAGGGTTTGGCTAACCATTCCTTTCGATTGTGAAAGCTCCTCATGCACTTGATGTAGGTTTCCAAACCCTTTCTGATCACTCTAGTAAGTCTCTTCAGCTGGGGGTGATAGGAGATGTTAAAGAGTATCCCACATCAGAAAAGTGTGAGGAAAATAATGGGTATATAAGCTCTTGAGTTGAACTAAGTAATCGATTGGATTCAATCTTTTAATGTGGTTTGACCCAAGTGTCTTATAGCCCAATTCAGTTATCCTTACTCTATCCTAATTCTATCATGGTATCGGAGCAGGTTTTGGCCCACCTTGTTTGTCAAGGTGTCCGTCTAGACGTTCATTCCTAGCGGCCCGTTTGTCTTTAGCCCAGTTGTCCGTATGGAGTATGTACCCAACGGCATGTGGCCTAGCCTGTTTAACATGATTGCTTGTTTGGAAGTCCATACCCAGCGGCTCTTGACCCTTTAGGTGTTGGCTCTCAAAAGAAAATTCAAGGGGATGGGAGTCCATTTGCAAGTGGTCAACCGGTTAGATTCAAAATGGCCCGATCGTCCACTTGAGGGCGAGTGTTAAAGAGTATCCCACATCAGAAAAGTGTGAGGAAAATAATGGGTATATAAGCTCTTGAGTTGAACTAAGTAATCGATTGGATTCAATCTTTTAACGTGGTTCGACCCAAGTGTCTTATAGCCCAATTCAGTTATCCTTACTCCATCCTAATTCTATCAAGAAATATTAGCAAGTCCACCCCATGAATTGCAAGGTATCCTTGAGCTACTTCCACAACAGTATAAGTGTGAATTGGTGTCATAAAATGAGTATACCACTTCCCATCAAACACCACTACTACTACCCATAACTCCTCATGGGTGGGGGTTGTTGATACGGACACGGCCCCGGTAACACACGACGAAGGAACAATTGCAACGCGCCGTTCAAAGAGGAGCGTGGGTCCGCCACGCAGATATCAAGACTATGTTTAATTTTATTTTAATATGGTTAATTCATTTATGTACTTAGCTTTTCTTTAGGAGGACGAATTATAAGTCCCTTCAAGGGTTTTCTTTTCGGTTCTTTCCCTTGACGCCTTTTTTGAACCGACAGGGTAGTTAACTTAGTTCTAGCAGGATTGGGGAACTCAACATTATTTAAGGAGGAGGTCTCCTTCCCTTAAACTATCATAATACAATCAAGTTTTCCTCTCCTAAAAAACTCTCTTTCCTTCTCTCTCCCAAACTCTCCCCCTCTCGGCTCTCTCTCTCTTCCTCTTTGCCGTTTACGGCAGTTCTTCCCAAGGTACACGAGAAACCTGCGTGTATCAATTGGTGCTTTCATTGTTGTGCTCATGACGACTCCACCACCCACACCGGAATCCGCTTCTCCCGCTCTCACTCTGGAAGATCTCATGCATGCAATCATGGATGTCCGAAAGGATTTGCATGCAACGAAGCTGAG